TTGCTCACTTTGATAAATTGGTCATATATATGAAGTCTGTTAAGAAAACACTGATACAAGTACCCATGTGTATATTTATAACTTTTTTTTTTGTTTAAGAAAAGAGGGGTTCGCAGAACACCTGGTACTCAATGCCTTCTGGTTACTGATTACTGGTGTGACGTAAGGCAAGATTCTGTCACCACCTCCGTGTGCCTAGTGCCCTTGTTGATAGGAAACTGGGCAAGATCAATCTCCAGTCATTCTTTTTGGATTCTTCCTTTACTCTCTGTGTCCCGGGGTGGCCCTTGGTTAGTCTCCATGCTCATTTACCTGGATTTAGCTCTGCTTTAGTCCCCTGAGTCTTACTTTATGGGGCAGGGGTTGAAAAATAGATCCATTCTGTGGCATATGCAATAAGGTGCAATACTGAAGTTACTGCGCCTGAATTTCTCAATATTTGTTCTAGCAGAGATATGGAACTAGTGTTGATCTCTTGTTCCAGGGGACGGAAAACCATTTTGTCAACAGAGGGCAATGAATCCACTCATCTTCAGGTCTGAAAGGCAGTAGGTTTGCAGGGCAGATAACTCCAGCCTTCCCTTGCTCATTCTCTTTACAAATTGACTCCCTCCAAGTTTAAGTTCAGGGTTGATAAAATTCCCTCTCTTCCTCTGAGCTTATCCTGCACCTGCTACAGATCTTCAGAGTGGCAAACATTGGTTTACTAGCCTGTCTCTTACCTGTCTGTTCCAGGCTTCTACCACAGTGTTTGGCATATCAAGGACACGCAGTCAGTTTCAACAGAACAAAAGCCAACCAGAGCAGATTGGCTCTGCCCTCTTTCTGCTACTTGATAATATATGCAAAAAAAAAAAAAGAAAAAAAAAGAAATGGCCTAATTAACCAGGGGGTAGAGAGAGTCACTTTGGTCACAGAAGTTAAAGATTTTTATTGATTTATTTACTACCACTTAAGTATCATGAACCTTGGATTGGATGGTTTAGGGGCTATGAAGTAGTGTAGCCTGGTGGAGGCAAATGCAGATGCTAGAGCACGCTTCTTCGGTTTAAGTTTTGACTCTGCCATTTAGTAGCTGTGTGATCTTGGGCAAGTTCCTTAACCTTTCTGTGCCTGGGTTTCCTCATTTGTAAAACAGGGCTTATAACCTACTTTGTGTTGTCAAGTGTTTAGAACTTGCCTGGCTATGCCCGGAACGTGCCAAGTGTAGTCCTACCTCAAGCCTTTTTACCTTGCAGTTCTCTCCACCCGGAATTCTTGTTCCCCAGCCATCCACAGGGCTCACTCTGTCTCTTCATTCCTATCTCCCATTACATGTCACTCTCTGGGGGCTATTCCAATGACGGTACACAAAGTACCACCCCATCTAATCTCACACCCTGCTTTATTTTTCTTTTGACATTGATGCTTCCTAACATATTTCTTTGCTCATTGCTTTTCTACCCCTATAGGAATGTCAATTCCAGGGAGGGAGGGGCTTGATGAGTTCATTAATGAAAGAGCTGTATGCGATAAGTAGGCACAATGCCCCACTTCTCTAGGTTTGACTTGGTTCAAACCTGAATTTTATTATCTTGTCTCATTCTTTTAGAAAACATTTTTGTTTATTTGTTTTCAGAGAGAGAAGAAGGGAGGGAGAAAGAGAGGGAGAGAAATGTCAATGTGCAAGAGAAACATCAGTCAGTTGCCTCACACGCACCCTCAACTGGGGACCTGGCCTGCTACCTGGGCGTGTGCCCTGACAGGGAATTGAACCTGCGACCTTTCGGTTCACAGGCTGGCACTCAGTCCACTGAGCCACACCAGCCAGGGCTTGTCTCACTCTTTTTGGTTCTTTCTCAGCCAGTCCCCAGTTGAGAGGGGTATGTGCCCTGTGGCCCTCTTCTCAAACACCAGAGACCCCACTGGGTTTCATCATTGTTTTGACAAGGGTCTTGAGAAAACGTGATGTTCCCAGACTTAGGTTGCTCACTTTGGTTTCCATCACTGGGTCTCTTCCTTCCATAGATCCCAGCAGTGAGTCTGGATAAGGTTTACAGAGTTGCATTACCTCTGGCACTTGTTTTCAGGCAGAATATTAAAGGGGTGGCCTTGAATCCTTAGTGGTGGATGGCAGCAGCAAACCCTTTAACCTTCGGATCCTTTGATGCTTCTTGGCTGACAGAGTTCTTCAGAACTGCAGATCCGTGGAGATCTACCCAGGACTTTCTACAGCACAGAAGCCAGGCTCAGCTCCTACCTCATCTGGAAGGAAGACCCTGCATTACCCACTAAAGCACAGGACAGAGGATGCTTACGTTTGTGCTGTGCTACCAGGAGATGCTGTTAATGGAAAGCCCTGTCTTTCCATTGCAGAGGAAAATGTAGGTCTGAGTGAAAAGCTAAATGCTGGGTCTCCTATGCTCAGGGGTCCCTAGAAAGTCAGGAAGAGAGAGAAAGGTTACGTAATTCATGTCATTATTAAATTATCCCTTTAGCTCGGTGATCAGACTTGATGGGAAGAGAATCTCTCCCTCTTTCTCTTTTTATGTATACATTATATCTATATCTGTATATCCTCTTATTTATAGAACTAGTTAGACATTTACAAGAAACTCAGAACTCTGTTTTAGGCACCAGCATCCAGGACATCTTTCCAAGAAGGACAAGAAATTAAATGTAAGACTTGACCAGTTATAGGGCCTTTGAGGAAGTTCCAAAAAAAACCCAATTTGCTTGGCTTGGAAAATAAAAAAATGGATGCTTTCTTGAATGTATGAATGATTCACTGTGCAGCAAATCAACCTATTCTGCTACATCTGTTTTTTTAAATCAGTACAGAAGTATTTAATTATTCATTTTACACTTACACGCCATGAATTCACAGGGAGTGGGTCCCAGAGGCTCAGGCTCCTTCCCACTGGTTCTCACAGTGCGCGTCTCTGCGCGGAGCAAGCTGGCACTTCAGTAGAACCCAGGTGGTTTCTCTTCGGCTCCCTTCTTTTTCTGATCGTTTTCCTTCACACGTTTCAGGAAGCCGTCTTGGCTCTTAGTAGTGCTTAATATGCTCAATATGTACATTAATTCTCTTGGCAAGGACCTTGCTCTCAACTTGTTTATTTATAACAATTCCCACCCTGTGCTGAATGACATTGTAGACTCTTCCAGTTTTGCTGTGGGAACATTTCAGGGGCATTTTTTGAACACTGCCCATTCCCTAAGGTCTACAAATATCACCCTTCTTGTGGATTTGCATGTAAGCGAACAAAGGAATAACTCGATATTTTCTAAAAGGCCTACAGAAGCCCTGGCCACTGTTGCTATGTTGGTTGGAGTGTCGTCCCGTAAACTGAAAGGTCATGGGTTTGATTCTGGTCACGGAACATACCTAGGTTGCAGGTTTGGCCCCCTGTCGGGGCATGTATGGATGTTTCTTTCTCACATCAGTGTTTCTCACCCTCTCTTTCCTTCCCTTCCCCACTCTCTAAAATCAATAAGCATGTCCTTGAGTGGGGATGAAAAAATAAATATATAAAAATAAAAGGCGTACAGAACACATAATGGGTGCCTCCCCCCTTTTGCCTTGAGTTAGACATTTTTGAGAATTGCTGGAAGATGGTGGTTTCAGAAGAAACAAACAAACAAAAACCAGCTACATTTGTTCTTGAAAGCAGCTTGTGAAAAGTGCTTTCAAGCAGGTGCCTGAGGGCTCTGTTTAAAACAGGACAGATAGGGGACCCATGCACACAGGATGACTTCAAACCGATGGCTTTCCAGGATTATTCCAGCCCTCATTGTGCTTGGGATTCTGGGGTCCAGGTCAGAAGTCAGAGGAGGGTTTTTATTGCCAGACACTTTGGGTTGTGGTCTGCAGAGTTCCAGTAGGAAACAAATGCTGCACACGAACTAGGCAATTTGAAGACAGTTTAACAAAGGAGACATAGGTGTTCTGACACATAGTAATTTGTTCTGGATCTCTTGTGGTTCTGATGGTTGACGGGGACTAGTTGACCTTGCTTGTGATTTCTCGTGCAATCACAGCTGTCTTGGCACGGTGTGTTCCGAAGGCTCAGATGGGCTAAACGTCCCACAGGGCTTCCTCTCCTAGCTGCCTGGCACCTCAGTGCTCTTTAGATTCCTCTCTCCCCAGAAAACGAAACTGGATTTTTTACATGAAGGCCAGGGTCTCAAAAGCTGGAAGCAGAAGCTGGTAGATCAGTTAAGGACTATATCCAGAATTGGCATGGTGCGTTTTCCCGAACTTCCATTGGCCAAAGCAGTCACAGGGTGTGCCCAGATTTAAGAGGGTGTAGAAAGACTCCAGCTCTCAATGGAGAAATGGCAGCGCCACATTGTTAAATGTAGGAGACCATTCTGTGTGGCGTGGGTGCAGCCCCCCAGTAGCAAACATTAACTGCAAAGTAACTTCCTAAAATCCATGCTAAACCTTCCAAGGATGAGTGTAACCGGTTCAACCACTTTTGCCCTTTTCATTTGCAAATATCCCTCTTTTGTGATGTGATTAGCGACATTGGCTCCTTTGTTTTCTGTAAAAGGTAACCACCTAAAGTAACCTTAGCACAGTAAATGAGGACCATCATGTAATGTGCCAAGAAACCCAATTAAGGCCGGTCACGGCAAGGGCTACGGCTTTTGCTCCCCTTGAGAGAAAAGCCATGCTGTCCCTTTTCCTCCACAGGATTTGGTAGTTCATGTGAATGTCTCATTTCATCCATAATGACTCGGACACTACGGGCTGGTGTCCACATCAGTTGAAGATCATGTGGAGTGGGAGTACTGTTGCAGCCATCTGGGGGGACTGAAGGTGGGAGCAGGGATTAGAGAAATCAATAGGGAAGCTGTCCCCACTAACGCCTGAAGAAGGAGAAAGACAGAGAAATAATGACAAGAACCTAGAGAGAACAGTTGCATGGAGATGGCTGTCTGAGAGTAGGGGTGGTCTTCAGAAATGCAATCCAACCAGAAAGGAAAGAGAGGAATAATTATTCAACATACCCTTCCTCCAACTTCAAATCTTCTGCCAGTGACCCACAATGGCCAAGGGATCCCATTGACAGGGGTCCATTCAGGTCAGTCTCCTAGGGCACAGAGAAAGTTGGGAAGGGCAAAGAATGGTCTGAAGAGGCAAAGGGAAGATGTTACCAGTGAATAAGAAAATATGTAAGATACATTACCTGTGGGCAAGAACACGGTTCAGGACTAGAATTGCTCTGCATGGGACTGGAAAGAAAACTGCCTAATTTTGAGCAGCTTGAAGCCTTTCTAAATGCTCTGGTGTGTTGGAAAACAGTTTAAGCCTACCTTTGGGCAAGAGGATGCTGCTACGGCTACCGATCACTTTATCCATAAACATGATCTGGCCAGAACCCACTGTCTTTTCTCCAGCCTCGTTGTCTACTATTCCCTTCTTACTCATAGTGCCCCACCACTTGCTCCCAAGCCCACCAAGGCTCTCAGAATGTTATTTTTGCAGCTGGACTCATTCTCACTCACTTCCTCTGGACAAATCCTTATCTTTGCAACTCAAATGCAACTTTTTCAGGGAAGGCTCCTTCAACATCTGTCCTCACCTTGTGCTATTCTTCCTGTACTTCTCCTCTGTGGCACTTATCCTAATAGCAATTTAAATATCTATTGGTGGAATGATTTGTTTAATGCCCATCTCAGTCACTAGACTCCAGTTCTCCCAGTCTGTATCTTCTCAAACCTTACAGCTGTGGAACTTTAAACATTGCTTAACATGTAGTAGGCACTCAGTAACTATATGTGAATCCATTAGTGAATGGATATGGTAGAAAAATCAGCAATGATTTCCATAGAGGTCGTCTTTCGCTTTTTTTTTTTTTTTTTTTTTTTTTATGTGTTTGCAGCTGCAGCCACTGTTTGGCTATCTTTTGTTGGAGATGAGACATGGATGAGACATGGATTATGAATTAGGAAGACAAGGTTTGATGCCAGGAGCTGAGTTAGTTAGCAAGTGTTAAGCAGCTATCAAAACACAGTCACCTAAGGAACAGCCTCAATGTCCATAAGCTGATGAATGAGTGAACAAAATGTGCTGTATTTATACAATGGAGTATTATTCAGCTATACAAGGAATGAAGTGCTGATACATGCTACAATATGGATGGACCTTGAGGACATTATGCTAAATGAAAGAAGTCAGACACAAAAGACTACATCTTGTACTCTTTCACTCAGAGGAAATGTCCAGATTAGGCAAATCCATGGAGATAAATAGTAGATTAGTGGTCCCCAGGGGTGGTGTGGTGGTGGGGAGTGGGAAGTGACTGCCAACAGGTACAGGGATTCTTTTCTCAGTGAAGACACTGTTGTGGAATTAGAGAGCAGTGATGATTGTACAACCTTGTGAATATACTAAAAGCCAGTGAATGGCCCACTTGGAAAAGATGAACTTTATGTTATGTGAATTATATATCAATGTTTAAAAACACGGTCAACATCTATCATTACACAAATAATGAGACATTCTGATCTACAAATAGGCTGAAGGATTGGAGCATGGTTTAGACTCTAGATTACTCTGGACATCAGAATGGCAGGCACAGAATTATTTCCCAAGAATCTAGGCTCATTTGTTTGGTGGCTTCCTTGGTATGCACTAAGGATGCTCATTCCTGATGAATACAGAATTGGAGTTGGGGGATTGAGGTTTTAGCCACCCACAAATGAAGGAACACCAACTTCTGACTGCAGAAAAGTGACTGTGTTATGGGCATGGTTTCAGTGATTATGCAAAGCACAAAACAAACACGATGGTGTTATTTGCCAGATTTCATGAGAGAAGTGGCCAGAAATCACTTCCATCAGCAAATATGTGAAAGTTTTATTTCCTTTTTAACCTTTAGAGCTCTGGTGTGAAGCAAATGGCTGAGACATCTGTTGGTCTTCCCTTCTAAGCATGAGATAAACATCAGATGAATGTAAATTACTGCCAAGGTCATGAAAAATAGGGAAAGTCTGAGAAACTGTCATAGATCAGTGGAAATGATCTAAAGTCAGATGAGATTCAGGAGGCATGACCACTAAATGTAATGTGTGTCTGGATAGGATCCTGGAACAGAAAAAAAGGATAGTGGAAAAATTAGTGAGATCTAAATAAAATGTGGAATTTAGTTAATATTAATGGAATAATGTGTATTTCTTAGTTGTGACTAAAAATGTAGCATGGTGACATAGATGTGAAAAATAGGGAATAACTGAATGGGAGCCATGTGGGAACTCTACTATTTTTATAACTTTTCTGTAAATCTAAACTATTCTAAAATTTAAAATTCAGTTAAAAACTTAAAAAGCACAACCAGATCCACCTCTCTGTTCTGACAGTCTTCTGTCTAGCTCACAGGTTTGTGAGGTTTTTTGTTTGTTTGTGTTTGTAACAATTATATGAGCTAATGAATGTAGGAACACACTACAAAGCTCTATGAATTAAGGTGTCACTATAAGCGATCAAGTCCAACCTAGCCTCCTAATCCCTCCTAAATTCCCGATGCAACCCTCTCTGACTATACAAAGGCTTTTTTTGCTGCTCCTGAGCCTGCTCCTCCTACCATTTCTTTCCCTCTGGCTTACGTGTTATCCATTGCCAACTGGTGGGCAAGTGTTGAGCATGGTTCGTACAAAGCTCCAACTGGAGGGTGTGAAGAAGTACAGGATAAGGGATGCTCCCCTCCTTGCATTTCCTCGGGGAATTTAGGGTCTACCAGGGGAATTACAACATCTGCACCCAATTGATGAATAATCATTGATAATGACGGTTCAAGATGATATGATACAAAGTAACTATCAAGGAAATGAGCAGTAAAATGCAGGGGAATAGTCCATGCTTGGTCCACAGAGTTAATTCATTATTTCCTGAAAGTTCTCCACCGCTGGCTGTCTCTTCATGTTTTCTATTTATTTATTTTTTCCTATTTATTGAAGGAAGGACTATACTGTTCAACTCACTTTGTCATCTAAAGAGAGGCAGGTTTGTATCGTGAGATCTGGGGTCTGATGGTGAAACTGGACCTCCAGCTCACTACTCACTACCTGCATGACTTGTTTTCAGCTATACAGTGTAAGGGCATGACCTAGAGCATGACCCAGGGCATGACCCAGGGCTTACACTAGGATGGATATGAGGATTAGGAGCTGACTTGGGTAGAGTGAGTCCAACAGGGCTTGGTAGGGGATAGTTGAGTGTGAGCTGTTATACCACTTGCATGGGTAGAGAAAGGAAGGGTGTGAAAACATTTTATAAAAATGAAGAGCCCAGGGCTTTAGGCAATCATTAAAACATAAGTTTACAAAAATTTTATAGTTGTAGGAAAACGTTTGTAATATCATGTAAAATGAGACTCACCGAATAGAAAATTCTGATATAGAAAGCCTATGGATATACACCTAGAAAAAATAAGATTTCAAGCTGTTAATTGTTAGGAAAATGGTTAGCAGTGGTTATCTGTGGGTCATGGCACTATTTAAAAAATAGTTTTCTATCAAAACACAGAAAGGTGGTCGCCAAGAGCTGAGAAGAGGATGGAAGGGGAATTAGGGTTTTACAGGCTTTCAGTTTTGCAGTATGAAAAAGTTCAAGAGATCTGTTTCACAGCAACATGCCTGCATATACTTAATGCTACATACTGAACTGTACACTTAAAAATGATCACGATGGTAAATTTAATGTTACCTGTTTTTTTTTTTCCCATCACAATTAAAAAAGAATACTTCTCTGCGGCAAACATAATTTTAAGAAAAAAATCAGTGGAAGGTGTTCTTTGATTTTTGAATGAAAGTCTTAACTACAGCTGGTTGGTGTAGCTTTTCGTGAGTATTTCTGTAGTTTATTGGCCCTGGCTGCCCAGTGGAGTTCACGTGGCAGCAGTAAGGCTTCCTAAGTAGAGCGGGGTCCTTCCACCTGTGTCCCCCACTCCCCCTGCTTTGTACTGAGAGAAAACATGGGCTATAGAAGAGGGGTATTACCGGAACTGTGTGGTTTGTCTGCTTTTCCTTCTGAGCCTAGGTTCAGTTGTCGGGTACTGAAGAAGGGTGGACACAGCAGCCCCTGACCCCTTCACCTACCCTGAGCCCCGCAGATTTTTACGTCAGCTGCTCTATTTGCAGTCCACTCTCCTCAGATCTGTGCTGCTGAATGTTCTTTGATCTGTAAACCTGAGTCTGAGCCAGACTGGTTGAGACAGAGGAGTCTGGGCTGATGATCTCAGAGCAGCTGTTTGGTTGCCCTTTGGTGGCTTCATAGACCCAGGTCTAACTGACGAAATACATGAGTCCCCTTGCAAGACTGGTGAGGAATGTGAACAGATACTTCACAAATCACGAAGAGCTGATAAACACATGAAAAGTGACCAACCTCACTAAAATAGAAGGAAGAGAAATAATGGCAACACTTTAATATTTAATGCTTTTTAGAAAATCTTTCCCAGGGTTTGCAAACAACTACCGATAGGAAGGTAACTGGCCTTTCTGAGAGGAAGTTGGCAATGTGTATCAAGACTGGAAAAATGTTTGTTCTAAGGAGAGAATATTCCATAAAAGCCACAGGAATATTCAGGAATTTAGTGAAAGGTAGAGGTGACATTTCAAATTAACAAGAACAGAGACTTTCATTTTAAACAATATTGAGCTCAGGAAAAAATCTTTAACTGTAAAGATATTTAGAAATGTCAGATAAAATATAACAAAATGCTTGAGTTCCCAAGATAAAAAGGGAATGCCCCCAGGGGCCAAACAATAAGGAACTGAAAACCAGTGGGGGTGGGGGTGGGGCAACACTGCTGCTGCCCTGGATTATTTGAACAATCTAAGGCTCCTGCCTTAACTTCCAGGTGGGTACAGGACGCCAGCTTTCAGGCTGGGTGGGTATGTGCCAGGAGGAGTTGAACCTGAAACTCATGTGTAGCTGGGATCCTTGAAAGTCCCAACCTTGAGTGGAAAAAATCAGTCACAATAGCTTCTAACTTCAAGAAAACCCTACCTTTGTTTGACTTGACTCTTGCTAAGGCCAATATCATGGAGGGTCTTAACCTCTGAGATTCTGTCCCCTTAGAAAACACTCAGCTGATTGATTCCCTCTGTGACCTCTCAAACTGGTTATGATATCCTGGCAGGTAGTCTAAACTCCAAGAGGTGGTCAAAATAAGACATATTTGTATGTTTCTTCTTCCTAATGGCCTATCTGTTGACCAGTTTGGCAGGTCTACCAGTATTTGAAATGTGATTCTACTTCCAGGAAATTATCCCACAAATTATAAGATACTTATAAAAATTCCCAATCATAAATAGCAATTGTATTCAGTACATTTTATTTATAAGAGAAAAAAGTTTGGAACTGCCCATGTCCAAAGGGGTGGACTGGGTAAACAAACACTATGTACCCATTAAAAGGAGTGAAGTTGATCTCAATGCATGAAAACAGAAAGAATATCCACGTGACATATTATGAAGATGTTTTAAAAAGTGATCTGCAGAACAGCTTTGTCCGATAGAAACAGAATGCAAACATATAGTAATTTCAAATATTCTGATAGAAATATTTTAAAACATAAAAAGAAATAGGTGAAATTAACTTTAATAATGTACTTTATTTCACATTATTTTACATTATTTTTATGTCTTTGAAACCTGATGTGTGTTTTATACCAACAATACATCTCAGTTCAGGAAAACCACATTACAAGCCCTTAGTAGTCACTTATGACTAGTGGCTGTAATAGGGAACAGTGCAGCTATAGATCAAATGTATTATATGTAATATATATGTATATATATATATATGTACCAGCTTTATATATACTGTATAGACACATGGAAAGATAATACAAGAGATGGCTGGTGTGCCTATCTCTGGAGTGGGGTTGTAGGGAAAGAAGGCGTCAGGGTTTAGTTTATAAACATCTATATTTGAATTTATTATCTGAGGATATATTACACTTTAATTACTAAAAAACTAAAAGTAAAATGTTTATTCAATGCAGTAAATCAAGGTATAGAAAAATTTACCTTCAGGAAATAATAAATATATGAACTGACACGGATGCAGCATTACTCACAATTATGAAAACCGGGCCCCGGGCCCGCTGGGTGCTCCACTGGCTGGAACATTGCCCCAGACACCAAAAGGTCATGGGTTCCATTCCCACGGGCCCATGCCTAGGTTGTCTCTCACATTCATGTCTCTCCCCCTCTCCCTCCCTTCTCTGTTCTAAAATCAGTTTTTAAAGAAGTTAGACTCCACATCATGTCCAACAATAGGAAAATTATTTAATGAATTTCAATACTTTATGATGGAATGTTTTTCATCACATGGGAAAATATCCATGCTACAATTTTAAAATTCACAAAGCAAAAGCTATCCCAGCAAAATGAAATCGATATATGTTCACAGAAGAACTTGTACACAAATGTTAATAGTAGCATACTTCATAGTACCAAAAGTGTAAACAAGCTGGTGTCCACCAGCTGGTGAATGGATGAACAAACATGGTACAGCCCTGCAGTGGGTGTTAATCAGCCATAAAAAGGAAGGGGTGCTGATTCAAACACAGCGTGGATGGACCTTGAATGCATTTGCTTAGTGACAGAAGTCAGACACAAAATACCACATATGGTATGAGTCCATTTATACGAAATGTCAGGAACAGGCAAATCCATAGAGACAGAGAGTAGATCGGTGGTTGCCAGGGGCAGGAGGAGGAAGTGGGGAGAGGCTTTGCGATGGAAACGTTTGAAAACGAGGAGGCAGCGATGGCTGCACAGCGTCGTGGGTGTATCACAAAGCACTGAGTCTTCCACTTTGGAATGTCTAAAATGGTGAATATATGTTTGTGTGAATTTTAGCTCACTTTGAAAAACGTGTGTATAGAACAAGATCCCGACTTTATGGTGGAAAAATAAGACTACGTGCTAAGAGTTGTGGTGGGGTTATAAACGCTTTTTTTTTCTTTCTGACCTCTCCAGTGCATATGTATTATATTTCTAATGGAGGGCATTGAAACAAAACCATTTGGAAAAGAGTGGTCTTCTCTGTGGACAAAGTCTTTGTGCTTTGGAAATAACACCATGTTCGCACTCCATTGGCTACTACACCAAGGGCAGCCTTGTCCAGCCTGTGAAGTAGCTTCTGTCTATACTGTATTTAACTGCATTTACAAAAACAAAACCACAAGCCCTTTGCCATTTGCCATAGGGTGGCAAGAGCAGAGTTGACTCAACACTTTCCTTTTCTGTATCTTTGGGTGTTGTAGAGACAGGGTTACATGTTCACCTTTTGAAACAGAGCCACCCTGGTTGTCTAGCTTGGGGATCAGGGCCCCAGCTTCAGAACGTGAATTCTCTTTGCCTTGCTTCCTGCCCTTGCCTGGTGCTTCTGCTGCCCTACCCGTAAAACAAGGAGGTAAAGGCTTGCTTCACTGGAGTAGGGGAGAGAATGCATGAGATAAGATCTTCAAAGCACTAAGGAATGGAAGGTCCAGAAAAACCAACTGTTATTTATTCCACCCCTTAGGAGACTCGAATCATGAGAATCACCGAATCACCAAATCAACAAAAAGTAGATGGAGAAGAAAGAGCTTAGGTAACGACTCTTCATCTCCCAATAAATAAATAGATAGAATCTGAATGACAGGGTCACTGAGGTTTCTCTTAACCTTTGAATGAGTGGCATTTTTCATGGGCTCACAGGAGTGCTGAGATCTCTGCTGTGCTTGTTTAGCGATGTTGTTTTGCGATGTTGTTTTGTTTATCTCTCACCTGACACCTTATTATTCTTCCCAGAATCCCAAAGCAGGTAAATGGAAGAAAATTTCCAGTGTAAGGATAAAGTTGCACAGGTTTTGGTTGCCTAGAGGACCCTGTACTTTGAAGATATTTGTTGAGCAGGCCTTAGTTCACTTCAGAACAGTTTGTTCTGACTGGAGTACAACTTTATAGACTGACAGGGAAAGAAGTCCGAGAGGTAGGAAGTAAACACACATGTTGTGGAACAAGTTGCAGAGCATAATTCCATTTGTGTTTTGAACATTTGTGTGAACCTGTATATCAGTGTATCTGTCATCTACCAACCTACTTACCTACCATCTCTCCATCTTGGTGAATGGATAGAAAAGGCCCAGTTATTGCCACTGCTTACCCCTTAGAGTCAGAATGGAGAGTACAGATAGCTAAGTGCAAGGAAGGACCCTCACTTTTACTTCACACATGTCTATATTGTTAACATTGTAATAGGTTATTTTGTAAGAAAAAATTTAAATGATCACTTGTAATCACAACTACGCCTCTTTGACAGTCTTTTCTAACATCTCACGAAGTGCCCAGAAAGAGTTAACTCAGAGAATTCCAGATGTTCGATGAGGTCAAATTCCTGATTTGGTTCTTGGGCGTGGAAGTAGGGTTAGAGGCGAGAAGTAACAAAAAGTGAAAAGGGGAGGAAAAAAGGGGGTTGGCTGTTCAGTTCCCAGCCTAACCAATAGCACGAACGTTTCAGACCTAACGCCCATTTAGGGAAACTATTTCAGAAGTCAGGAATTGCATCCGAGTTCATCATCACTTGTCAGAGAATTAAAACAGCTTTCTGCTTCAGCTACTTGGAGGCTGCTTGGTTCTCCTTTACTTGAAAGGTAATATTGAGCCTCTGCTAATCTGGTGGTGGTGATTGGGGTGTGTGTTTTTTTTCTTCGTGGTGTCGATTTCTTTTTTCCACAGGGAAGAAAGGTGCTTTTAGGATAGTGCTTTATTTTTACTAATGACAATATTAACATTAAATTTCTGACAATGTGGAATGATTCTTCCTGGTCCTGTTTGCAGAAGGCAAAATACAGTCCGTTGAAGGGTTAGGGAGACTTTTTTTTGGACATGAACTGCATGGGAAAGAGAAAACATGCATTTTTTTATTGTTTAATAGTTTTCATGTCCTTTTTCCTCAGTTTCATGGTTAAACTTTTATCAGGACTAGGGTTTGCACATAGCAAATCTTGCCATAAATTAGTATTCAACAGAATGCTCTGTGCTAACATTATAGAATGGCTTCTTCCTTTATTTTCTATC